TTCATACATATCCTTTATAGCTTGGATATATGCTACTCGTACTCCTTTCTTCTCTAAAATCCTCCAAAGAATGTCTCTTGGGACCCTATCATACGCTTTTTCCAAATCTATAAAGACCATGTGTAAATCCTTTTTCCCATCTCTATATCTTTCCATCAATCTTCGTAAGAGATAGATTGCCTCCATGGTTGAGCGCCCTGGCATGAATCCGAATTGGTTGTCCGAAACCCGTGTCTCTTGCCTCAATCTATGCTCAATGACTCTCTCCCAGAGCTTCATTGTATGACTCATTAGCTTAATACCCCTATAGTTCATGCAATTTTGTACGTCGCCCTTATTCTTGTAGATAGGCACCAAAGTGCTCGTTCGCCACTCATTTGGCATCTTCTTTGTTTTCAAAATCCTATTGAAAAGGTCAGTGAGCCATGTTATACCTGTCTCTCCCAAAAGTTTCCACACTTCGATTGGTATATTGTCTGGGCCTATTGCTTTTTTATGCTTCATCTTCTTCAAAGCTACAACCACTTCTTCTTCCTTCCGGATTCGACGATAAAAAGAGTAGTTTCTACACTCTTCTGAGTTACTCAACTCCCCTAAAGAAGCACTCATTTCATGTCCTTCATTGAAAAGATTATGAAAATAACCTCTCCATCTGTCTTTAACCGCGTTCTCTGTAGCAAGAACATTTCCATCCTCATCCTTGATGCACCTCACTTGGTTTAGGTCCCTTGTCTTCTTTTCCCTTGCTCTAGATAGTTTATAGATATTCAACTCTCCTTCTTTGGTATCTAGTCGTTTATACATATCGTCGTAAGCCGCTAACTTAGCTTCTCTGACAGCTTTCTTCGCCTCTTGCTTCGCTTTTCTATACCTTTCACCATTTTCATCGGTCCTCTCCTTGTATAAGGCTTTACAACATTCCTTCTTAGCCTTCACCTTTGTTTGTACCTCCTCATTCCACCACCAAGATTCCTTTTGGTGTGGGGCAAAGCCCTTGGACTCTCCTAATACCTCTTTTGCTACTTTTCGGATACAACTAGCCATGGAATCCCACATTTGGCTAGCTTCCCCCTCTCTATCCCACACCCATTGGGTGATTACCTTCTCTTTGAAAATGACTTGTTTTTCTTCTTTTAGATTCCACCATCTAGTCCTTGGGCACTTCCAAGTCTTGTTCTTTTGTCTTACTCTTTTGATATGTACATCCATCACCAACAAGTGATGTTGATTAGCCACACTCTCTCCAGGTATAACTTTGCAATCCTTACAAGTTATACGATCCCCTTTCCTCATTAGAAGAAAATCTATTTGTGTTTTTGACGACCCACTCTTGTAGGTGATCACATGTTCTTCCCTCTTCTTAAAGAAGGTGTTGGCTAAGAAGAGATCATATGCCATTGCAAAATCCAAGATAGCTTCCCCATCCTCGTTTCTCTCCCCAAAACCATGGCCACCATGAAAACCTCCATAGTTGCCTGTCTCCCTGCCCACGTGTCCATTTAAATCTCCTCCTATAAATAACTTCTCCGTCTGAGCAATTCCTTGCACCAAGTCTCCAAGATCTTCCCAAAATTTCTCCTTCGAACTCGTATCCAACCCTACTTGAGGTGCGTACGCACTAATCACATTGATAAGTTCTTGTCCTATTACAATCTTGATTGCCATGATTCTATCTCCTACCCTCTTGACATCTACAACATCTTGTACCAAGGTCTTGTCCACGATGATGCCAACACCGTTTCTCGTTCTATTTGTGCCCGAATACCAAAGTTTAAACCCTGAGTTTTCTAGATCATTTGCCTTACTACCAACCCACTTAGTTTCTTGTAGGCACATAATATTTATCCTTCTCCTCACCATAACTTCCACTACTTCCATAGATTTTCCCGTTAAGGTTCCTATATTCCACGTTCCTAAACGCATTTTGCTCTCTTGAACTCTACCCTTCTGTCCTAGCTTCTTCACCCTCCCCCGTCTAATAGGATCAAAGTACTTCTTTTGTGTGTCCCGGGTAAAGTTGATAGGAGCATATGCTCCCAAACAACTTTGAGTGGAGTCGTTCGAAAAGAAGTTTATATGGCCCCCTTGCTCATTTAACACTGCATCCGGGTGCCGATGGAGATACAGCGACCCTTGCTCACTTATCACTGTGCTCGGGCCACACAGCGCGCCACTTACGGGTGACGCCCTAGCTTTAGCGCGATTTTGTTCTGGATTCATTTTCATAAGGATTCGACGTGATCATGGAGTGCCGGCTGTCGACTACCTGACGCCCTTCCCCTCCTCCTTTATCCGGGCTTGGGACCGGCCATGTAAAACATAGGCGGAGTTAGATCGCTAACTATAATAAAACTAATATATTTATGTAATACTATTTACATGTTTTCATATGTATAATATATGTTTTATACACAAACCAAGTTAATTTTGATTAGTTGCAGCATAAGTGGGCCAAATCGTCATTTTAAGCTGCCCATCAGGGAGTTAATCCTTGTTCATGAATCAATGACGTGCATAATCATAGTCCGGGCAGGGCGGGCAGAAGTCGCAAACCTGCCCGCATTTTTCTTTTATCTTTTTCCGTGAGAAAAAGCAAAGGCATAATGCATAATTTAGATATGTTTGTCTCAAACTTTTCGACTCACAGATTTCCTAAACCAAACACTTCGTACATATTCATTCTCTTAATCAGACACAAACCGCAAACTGTAATCATAGTTTGTTCTTTGATTAAGCCAATAATAATATACTTTTTCATAATGCAAACGAGATTTGACGTTTAGGGAATCGAACACAAAACTTCAGATATACGATTAACAGTTGTTAATCACTTTAACTTTAAGTCATTTGCTGTTAATAATTGGTGATGAAGCTAAGGGTGTATTTAGATTTTGTGCTTTCTAATTTCAGCAATTTTACCCTCTCAGGAGTGGCGGCACTCAAGCGAAACACGTGGACATCCCATCAATGTGACGTACATAGGGTCGGCCCTAATCAAGGGCAAGCTGGATGATCACCCAGGCACATAAATTATTGGGATACTTTGGATGCGGTCCCTAATCCTTAACATTCTTTGACTAAAACCTTAATGATATTTAAAGTTTGATCAAAGTCCCTTGACTTTGTACACCTCATTATATTACAATTAATATTTATATTTTTATAGTTTTGATATTAATTGTTTGATATTTTATGAGATTTATAATCCTATAAATTTAAAATCCCTCATAATACTATCAGAAACGGTTACAATAAAAAAATTCAAACATTTTAATTGAATAAATGGATAAAAACTATGTAAAAATAAGAAATAATAAATGGCAAAAGAATGTATCCATAGTGTTAAAAAAATTGGTACATTTCACATATAACAAAGTGATACATTAATAAAAAAGAATGGATACATTATAAATAAATTAGGGTACATATAAAAGATTAAAAAATTATGAGTACAAATGAATTTTTAAAAAATATAGGCGCTAAAAGAAATTAATACTTGGGTACAAAATAAAACTAAAAATAAAATACTACAAATTTAAAAAAATGTTGCAAATTAAAAGTGGGTACAAACGAAAAATATAAATATATGATACAAAGTTTAGGCATAAAACATAAATATACCATATGTAATTTTTCTATCATTGATTAAATATACAATGTCATGTGACAGTATACACATGGGTACAAGCACAAAAAAAACTTTAAAAAATATGGGCACAAAAATAAACTAATATATGGCTACAAATTAAAAAAGGAAAAAAAATTGGTACAAACTAAAAATAAAAATATATGATAAAAAAATTTAGCCATAAATATAAATATACTAATTGTAACATTTTTAACACTAAAGGAATATATTTAAAAATAAAAATATTTTATTATTCAAATAATTAATGATGTTATTAATATCCAAGGACCTTGATTAAAAATTAAAAATTAATAAGTTTTTAATCAATGGAGTAGCAAAAAGAAGGATGTGAATCTAATTTCTCCCAATTAGGATGATATATTCATATATGTTTCCATAAGCATAATTTATACAATTTGGTTAAATCATCAAGAAGTTTAACGAGAAGTATTGCTTTTTGTTGTTTACTATTAATAAGGAGGTTTTGGGTTCGAGATGGCATGCGTGTATTTTTTTATCTTTTCAATTTTTTACGAATTTTTGTTTGGTTAATTACTTTTAACTTCATGTTTAATTATGATTATTAGCTATGTGAGTTGTAGCTTGTAGACATTCATTTTAATTCAAGTCTAATCTTCAATGAATTAATGTACACATGTCTTTACCAATAACAAGTTTAATTTTCTGCTCATTTATTGCTTATACATATCAATTAAAAACTTGAAAATATGATTAATTTTTTTAGTCTCATATTGATAAGGTTAGTAAACAAGAAAAAAACCTCATCATCTATACTTGTAAGCCGGGACTTTTTGGTTTCCTTCGCTCAGTACAAAATAAATTGGTTTTTCCGTCTTTCTAAATTATTAAATTTTAAGTGCTTTTTTAAGTGCAATTTATCAAAATCTTACTTATTAAAAAAATTATTTTCCTTATATGAAGTTAGGCATATTTTAACGTCGCTCTAGGTCTCAAAAATCTCAAAACCAGCCATGAACGTGCATCACGTTTGGCCATTGGTAATGGTATTCATGCAACGGCGAACCGTTGATACTACGAAGGACGTTCAAGTTTCATCCCAAAACCATCCCCAATGGGACAGACGCTAACACCTTGCCAGGTTCCTCAATTTTCGGTCACGAGACAACTATCCACATCCTTGCACATTAGCCATGGGCTGGAAACAACCTAAGTTGGAGTAAAGACCATTATCCATTACGTGACCATATTCCAGCACCGCAGAATAACTTTTGCCAAATAGTAAAAAGCTTAAAATGGAGCTGTCAATTTATGCCAACAAATCAGCTGCTTCGTTGCTTCGGTGCATAACATGAGAAAAATATCAAGAAGCAAGACCTAATGTGCATCAAAATTGCACAAATAGCGAACATTCTGATCATATTATTGCAAATTGCAGAAGTCTATAGCGTTATGTACAAGTTTATATACAACAGTGATTCAGAACCAACAGAATCAATCAGAAGACAAAAAAAATTGAGTCACACTACATGCTTCAAACACTCAAGCAAAAGCTAAGTTCCCAGGAGAACTAAGAGCAAAGAAACCTACCTACCTATCACATAAATTCCGCCTTCCCAAGCTCAACGGGAAGGAGGAGAAAAAAGGGAAAAGTTTAGACATTGTACGCTGCTGATCCGGTTCCTGCGTGTACTTCGCAATATTTCCATGACCACTAATCAGAAAAAGGGAAGAAAAATGCTTGGACTTCTCTGAAGCTAAAATAAATTAAAGAATATATATATAAAAAAATATCCCTAAAGAAATATCTTGAGGGAGAAAATGTTATGGGGGCTAAATTTAGAAAAAATCAGCAACAGGTAAATGTCTTTATTTTCCCTTTCCCATTGCCCCTTCTCGCTGATTCCTGAAGTGACTGAGAAGCTGCTGTGCCTGCATAATATATGTAAAGCAAAATTTTATCTTCTTTGTTCCACTGATCTATATTCTAACAAAATCATGCAATGTTCGGCATAACTTCGGTTTTATGCTGACTCAACAGGGATAAACATTGAGAGTGAACACCCTGGCATAGTTCTAGGTTGGCCTAAAGAAAGCACTCATGGCATTTTATGTGCATATCAGATGTTTTCTCACAAACTTTCGACAATATAGATTGATCTTTCGCCGGTAATGGTAAATTATTGGGTTATAGCTACACCAGGGCAATAAGTAATAACAGCTGCCAAATGACGGGAGGAAGAGAACTGTTTTCACTAAAACAGAAGGAAATCATCATTATTGAACAATCAATTTTTCCCCATCCTTTAAAGTTTTAAAATTTTCTGTTCCCTTGCCTTCTCCATTATTTGGCACACTAACCGGTAAGCAGATCAACAGAGAGCTAAATAACAGACAAGAAAAATGTTTAAGCTGTGTACCTTTTCCTTTGCTCTTGGTGTGCCAGACTGAGATAAGGCAACCAGGGGAGGGACAGCTCCTTCCTGAAGAACAAGAGTACAAAACTTTGGACTATGAAGGCACAATTGCAACAGTATGGAGGCGGCATTTTCCTTTCCTCTCTGGGAACCTGATTCAACAATCTCAACTAGTAATGGAATGCCCCCTTCCCGTGCAATTGCTACGCGCCCCTCCGCAATGGTGGACAAATTTGCTAGGAGAGCAACGGCCTTGTCAACCATCCCAGTATCAGGGTCCATCAAATCAATAAGATGCTTCACAGCCCCAGCTTGAACTAGGCGAGCTTTATTTTCGTGAAAAATTGACAGATTGAACAATGCAGTAGCAGCATCTTTCTTCCCTCTAAGAGTCCCTGAGGCTAGAAGATCAACCAAGGCCTTGACTGCACCAGACCGACCAATTTTTGCCTTGTATTCATCCAATACAGAGAGGCTGAACAAAGCTGCAGCAGAATTTTCTTTGGCTCCGTCACTTCCTGTTTTTAGAACATGGATTAGGGGATCAATTGCCCCTGCTTCTGCAATCATTGCTTTGTTGTCTTCATTAATTGATAAATTCAAAAGAGCTGTCACAGCATGCTCTTGTGTTATCATCACTCCTGAATATAGAAGTGAAAGTAACGACGAGATAGCACCACACTGACCTATAATAGTTCGATTCTCCGTATTGCGCTTCCCAAGAAGCCGCAACTCTTCTGCCGCCATAGTTTGCACTTCATTGGACTGGCTCTGGAGGTCTTCAATTAATTTCCTGACACGGGATGCTGTCGTCAACTCGTCAGATCCTGAACTAGAAAATGGAAGCAGCTGTCTGTTGGGATAACTGGGGCTGTCAGTCCATGCCCCTTCTGCTTTTGCCTTGGAAATGTGAGATAATTTTCCTGATAACCCGGGGGGTATTGTTGTTTCTTTATCTGGAGAAGAAGCAACTTCATGCGCAGATGAGATTTCTCCAGACAACCTACGAACATTTTCATGCTTATTAGATATCCCCGACACCTTAATGGATGCTGGCAGTGCATAATCAATACTGGAAGCAGCACTAGTGGCTGATTCACTCCTGCAATGACTATATGACTGTTTTGGTGATGAGTGGCCTTTCTTGTTGCTATCGCATTCATTGGACTTTTGTCCACCTAACCTAGGAGAGACATCTTTCTTTTGTTTCTCAAATACGTTTCCAACTTCAAGAGAGGACCTCGATGTCGAATTGCTACTGTGTGTAGAGCAATACAAACTATCCGTGTGAATTGAATCTGCATCTGATGGAGATGGGACCAAGATAGCATTAGAGCCGTCAGAGTTCGCCGTAAGTTTTATATCATTTTCCTGACACCAGCTTTCTATCATAGCTTTGACAGTATAATTGGGAAGGAGATTTGTATGGGAAAGCCTCTGTCGGGTCTTTGGGCAGAGAGTTAGCCCATGATCAATCCATTTTTGGATGGAAGATCTCTCATAGGTTTGACCTGAAGCTACGATCACAGGGTCCAGCATTAGTTCTGAAGACAAAGGGCAGCGGAAGTACGAAGGGATTGGGACGCCAGATGCAGTTTCAAGGTGCTCAATTTTGACCATGAATTCACGAATATGGGAGACGAGAACCACAATTTGGTTAATTTGATCTAATTCCCCTCTAACATCGCTGACTTCGACATTCATCCTTTCCTTTTCTACAGCAATGCTTTCTTTCAGCAGTTCTTGGTTTGAAGTCAGATTAAGCAATTCGATAATTTTCATAAGAAGTTTGGTGGAAGGCATGACGTCTTTTCTTGGACTTTTCAGAGCCTCTTCTAAGTATTCTGATACTCTTTCCAGCTTCAAAGATTGAATTTCCTGCATACAGTGCTGAAACAATTTACCACAGATTAGAGTTGCATTTGTCCTGACTTCTGACGAATTGAACAACATAGTTATAAATAACTAGTGGGATGAGGAATAGAAAGTTTCAAAGAAATAGGTTAATATTAAAAATAATAAGAATGAGTAGTAGAAATTTTGTTATATCAACCTCGTTTTCTTTTTCCTTTTTCCTTTTTCCTTTTTCGCTTATAAGAAAACGATACATGCAGAAGGCAGTTTGAACTTAGCAATTACCTGAAGACCTGCTAAGATTGAGCCAGATGAAGATGACTGCAACAGTCTAGGTAATATGCCGCAAATCTTTAGTGATGAGCTTTGGATTGTTATCAACAATGGTTCACCCCACCAAGCCTGAGGATACATTGCATTTCGAATTAAAACATAAGACGAAACCCCCACCCCTCAACACAGGCACAGACACAGACATACACCAGATAGTTTGTCAAAGTTGAGGTATTTTATGCACACTGCTTTGTTCAATTTCCATGTATTCAAAAGGGAAATACAGAAGCCTCATAGTTGTGATTGCAATTATTGTTGTAGGGTTCCTATTTCTTACACCACAGTTTTTCTTGATTTTGTGTGCCTTTCCAAATGAAAAAAACCAACAGAGATTCCGTAATGAAAATCCTCAAGCATGGACTAGAAACACACATAAAGACGTGAATTTAGCAGAAGAGTAGGTTTGCACTTACACTTAAAATTTTGCTCGACTTTGGAGACCATTTTTCCATGAATTCTCTAGCTCCATTTACAGCCATATCCAATTCATCACACTCTTTATATAGAATGTCATCTGACGGTATTTTAAAGTCAACTACTTCATCAAGCAATGACTTCAAAAGCTTTAGTACATCAACTATGGTTCTGTAATCCTTCTGAATAGGAATATGTTTCGATGTTTGGCTTGAAACTAGGTGAACAAATCGAGATATACTGTTGATCAGACATTTTATAGATGCTATGTCCATCTCACCTGTTCGAGAAGAGAAACGACAAATAAATACAACAGACGGCAGAGAAATATTATGCATTGAAAACTTAACAAAAATGCTCTGCGAAACTAGTTCAGTTTTCTGGTTCTGAAACTCCAACAGAACGTAATGAATTAAAAGGTGTATACCAATTGGTCCTATCTGTCTACGTAACAAACGTCCTCGAATTGTGAAGCAACAATCAATTACATGTTTTGCACGGCCTCTCTTAACAATGCATCAAGATTCTAAAACATTGTAATAGCTAGCAAAGATCAGAATCTTTACACCTCCATTGTCAGACTGTTGGTGTTTCAAAAACCGAACTTTCCTGCTAAAAGTGTTTCGATTCAAGATACCAAATCAATTTCATTAAACACTCAGCACACAAGAAACCATGCAAAGGGGGAAAACACTATTGAAATCTTAACTCTTATCATTTTTTCCCAATTTTGAGACCAGAGCACAGAAGAAACTCGGCTCAACTTTGTCGAACGGTAATTTTCGATTGATTTTTGTTTCGAAAAACCAACACGAATTGTGATTCAAAAGCTAGTTTTCCTCCCCTCAGCTCAACCTCCTCAGTCATTTTAGCAACAACAACTAGAGGCAGGTGAATTCACTCAACCAAAACCTCATTCCCTTGAACCTCAACATAACAATACCTTAAAACAAACCTTATTTTCTCCTAAAAACAATCTGATCAAACATGTTACAGATTATCAAACTCCCAATTTGCACAAACCCACAAAAATTCACACAAAACCGAGAAGAACAAACAAACACAGCTAAATCCAAAATAAATAATCAACACCAACCATTTCCTCCCCCACCCACTAACATAAGACAAACATCACCAAACATTTTATTGGGAAATAAAAAACAAAAACAACAACATTGGATAAAACGAAAATTGTTACCTCTGAATCAAACGGTTAGAACTGGTGAGTTGAGGCATAAAAAACAGATCTTGATGAACTCAGAGCCAAAGGTGGAAACTTAAACATGAAACTTCAATTGGGTTTTTGATAACAAACATCAATCTTCAAGAATCAATCTAACCCTCATGCACTGCTTTCATTACAAGGCTGCATGAGAGAGAACAAGGAGAGAGAGAGAGTGTGTGTGTGTGTGTGTGCTGGGAATGAATAAAATTTAGAGGAAATTAAAAGCAAAAAAGGAACTAAATTGGTGGGGCCTATGTGGTTGCAGATTTGTTGGGTGAGGAGGTTAATGAAGATGGTAAAATGTAAAAGGAGGAGACTTTGTCACTTTGGGGATCTAACCATGATTAGAGATAAATTTGTAAGACAAGTCGAGCCTTTTTTTCATTTTTTTATTTTTTATTTTTTTTATTTTTTATTTTTTTTATTTTTTTTACAAAAAAGATTATGTGAAAACATTTTTCTAATCGTAAGGGATTGGATGATGCTTTGGAACAATGATATCCAGCAAAAGATTCCACAGAGGAAGTATCATGATTGTTTTTTAAATTTCCTTTCTTTTAAGTTACTAATCTACCCTTCACATCTACACAAATTTACCATGCATGCATAGCTTTTCTATTGGCCAATGTTTGGCTACTCAACTATTGGCCAATGTATGGCTACTCAACTATGAATGCAAACTTCTACTTAAAACTCTTCATGTTCGAATCACAAAGTTTTGTACTTATGATTAGAACCGTTCATATTATGAACCACTTTGTAAATATAATCTTTACAAAAAATGATTAAAACTAAGATCGTTTAGTCAATCTAATGTTGCAAATACATAGACAGTTTCATAATGCTTCTACCAATTATGTTCATCTGTTTTATACAATTCGATAATTAAATGACCTTAGTTTTAACTGATTTTTTTGTAAAAACGATATTTATAGAATGATTTATAATATGAACAGTTTCGGTTATAAACATGAAGTTCTATGAGTCGACCACCTAACGATTTTGAGTAGGAACACCTACTCATACTTTGAGTAGCCAAGTATTATTTTTTTCTATTTCCCAATATCATTTTTTTAGATATTCTTATTATAACATGTTACCTATTTAGAATCAGAAAAGTACGTGAATAAGAGAAAAATAAGAATAATATTAAAAAATACTAATCAATTTAATTTATATTTTTTACATAATATTTTATAATATTAATGCATAAATTAACGATAAATTATGAAATAGTAAAGAGCCCATGAAGAGTCCCCTCAACATTTCTCATCAAACAATTATCATCACTATTGACAAAATTCCATCATGTCTAGCTGCAGATTCTGGTTGAGATTAAGAAATGATAACTTAATTTATATTTGCCACCTACTCCAATTAATCTGATGAAATGATTAATTAATTAGATCAAGGATTATAATTATGAAACTTTAACTAAAAGTTTCCGGTGCTGTTTATTTTAACAAAAAATCATATTTTTACGCTAAAAAATAAATCTTGATATTATTCACTTTACCCTTTATTTTGTTATTTTCGTTAAAACTCAAAGTTTTCAAACTATTTTCATTAGTTTTCCTTTATAATTATAAATTATAATTTAGAAGTTAAGCTTTTATGTTTTGCCTACTTCACTTGCTGGCTCGAAAGCAGAGAATATGTCAGACTCATACCTGTCCAACCAAAATAAATCTAATTATTTTGTTTTAACCCCAAGTTTAACCGTAAGATAATTAGATTTAAGACAAAATTAGCAACTTTTTAATGGACTTAAATAATCACAACCTATATGCTTTGGAAGAAAAATATATTGGATAACATCCCTTTGAAAAGTTGGAGTCATTTGTCACAACCTTTCATTGGTTTCAGCTTTTGCTAACTAAAGCATGGGATTTTCTGTAAGATGCATGTCAAACGATGCCAAACAAGAAGTTGCGATGGGGCATCTCCTTCTTGTTTCAGGCATGGTAAATATCACCTTGGAAAATCACTTGCTAAACTAATGAAATGTTATTATTCGTAGGGCTAAAACTTACTTCTAACGGGGTGTATATGTCTATATGTCTATTTATTGAGTGTAGAGAGAGAATTACATTGACGGATGTAATTCGTTGTAGGTAAGTTTTTTCTCTGACGAAAGTTTCAAATTTTGCAAGTGGCCCTCTACTATAGTGATAGAGAAAAATGCTGTCCTTGCATCACGGTATGGGTTCGAACCTCATTGATTCTCTAATCTAATATCTAATCTAACAAATCCATCATTTGACAAAAAAAAAAAAATGGTTTCAAACTTTCAATCAAGAAAAAGAATACACAACAGTATAATTTCATTTGCACCATTCCTAACTGTAAGTACATTTACACTCATTTTTACTTCTCACACGCCTCTTTTAATTTTCGGTCGTAGATAAAATAAATTAAAGAATATTAATGAACACAAATTACACTACCTTTAAAATAAGGACAAGGATTGTCTGCTCTCCACTTCCGGTGCCCTCTCCGTGTCCTCCTGTTTGTGTAATCACGGTTAAGTCACGTCAACATTTTATATTACTATTTATTTTTGTCTTATTATATCTATATAAAAAATAATATAAAATATTAACGTGGCTTAACCGTGACCACACAAAACAGAAGGGTACGAGGAGGGCACCAGAAGTGGAGGGCAGACAATCCTTGTCCTTAAAATAAAGGGTAAATTAGGTGAATGTCAGATTGTAGCACCTTTAAAAGTTTTAGCTACCACGTTAGCTGTGAATCTCCCAACTCTTTAAAAGTTTTATCTACCAAATTAGGGTTCATCGAGAAAAATTTCAGTGAAACTGTCTTATTGTAACTGCACTTATTGTGAATTAGACGATTAGCATTGATTTGTATGAAACTAAGATACAAAATATTTCAAAATTTTGTAAAAAGTGCCTTACGAATAACGCGAGCTAGCTAAATAAATCTAAAACCCCAAAATTAATTGGATCCCAATTATTATTGGCCCCTTAAATAATATCTTCACCCTCTTACAAATTTCATCTGAGAATCCAACTATGATCATTTGGTGTGATTTTCTTTTATTTTCCTGTCGTTTTCGATTTCCAAGGGTGTGTGATCATTTTTTGCACAATCATATATAGGAAACACAACCATCTTCTTAATAAAAACAAATCATTTGCATCCACATTTCTAAATAGTTGGCATCTTCACACCCTAGTTTGGACCCCTCCCTACTCTCCTATACCATCCCATACATACTTGTACATTTGATACAGATTGATGGTTATGTATATAGATAAAGACATACCTATATGTGTGTATAGATAAAGACATACATATATGTGTGTGTATTGGATAATAGAATCTCATGTCGAAAATTTCATAGAATAAAGTATAATTTGATAAAGACATACATATATGTGTGTATATTGGATAATAGAGTCTCACATCAAAATTTTCATAGAATAAAGTATAATTTATATTGAATGATTTCATTTTTAGTTGTACCGAGATCTTTTGTGATAAAAGCTCAATACTTATCAAACTCTACAGGTGATTAAGTTATAACAATATTAATGTGATTAGTTGTGGATCACGGATCTTACTCTGAAATCTTACGACACACATAAAGACTAGGCTTTTACAAATTGGAAAAGCAAACAAAACCATTCTTTTTGCCATTCATTTATGCAGCAGTCACCATTTGTGAGCTTAAATCCAATAAGCCTACCATTCCATATCAGACTATACATCTTTACGGTTGGTCTACCTTCACTTCCATTCTCATTCAAGCACAAACCAGAAAGATAAATAATGCAGCTCAATCATTAAGTTCCCCCTCCATTATCTTTTACTGCTAGCTTTATTATTTTACTGCTAAAGCAAATCACTTTGTAAGAGCATTTCTAGTGGAGTCTCTATACAGGGACAATCACCGTATAAAATGAGTATAAAACAAATATAGGGACAAAATAAATCTCCAATGGATCAAAAAGTGAGTTCTTAAAGTATAGAGACTCGCCGGATACTTGGTGTATGTACCCACATATAAGGACTTTATAGAGACGGAAATGGTGAACCCAATAGGACAATTTAAGTGGAAAAACAGGCATGAGTCCTAGTCACATGGCCTTGTCTTTTTTTCTTTTCATTTCAACCATTTAAAATGGAGGGTCTAGATTGATTCTTGATTTTCAAATTTTTTTACCATTTAAAGATCAACTGTTCTAATTAAAGATCAACTGTTCTAATTAAATAAGTGTTTCAATTTAAATTACTCTCTCCTGTTGGTTTTCAAATTATTTTGTTTTCTCATTTCATAATGCCCCTGTTGAAATATTAATATTTTCAATTTGGGTTACTCTTTCATTTTGTTCTCTCATCATTCTTATAAATACTAAATTATCTAACCAAAACTTACCACAATTTCATCTCATATATTTAGTTCACTCGTACTCAATTCACTCATTCTAGTTACGTTTTTGTGGAGAAAAAAATTAGTATCAGAATTTGAATTTTTTTTTTTTTGGGGTTAAAATGTTCACAAAAATATTTTACGAGAACGTAATATTAACATAAACAACAAATGTGCATCTGACCAAATAATCACATAAAATTGTAAAAACCTCAAATTTAAGAATTCTACTATAACGACTCTGCCATTAGAGGCAATATTCCTTTAGGGATACAAAGATTCTCTTTAAGTCCTTAAATGAGTACTCAAAGATGGTGGTAGGAGTCCCTAAATAAGGACTTCCATTGAAGATGCTCTAAGGAGAAAGACTTGCATGTCACTAAATGTATATTTTTGTATGAATATATATAACGCTCATTAAGTGATTGCGTAGAAATAAACGCACCTTGATATGCAAGAATCCTCCTTAACTAGAACAAGATGCGTGCTAGCAATTAGAACCGGACGAATGATTTATTAGTGTAGAATAGCCCTTCTAGTAAGACTATTTTTTATAACAAAAAAAAAGGCCAGCTAGTGGCTTTTCGACAGTAGTCGATCTTTCCGAGAATCAGAAAGACTCACAAAAGCATTTTAGCCTCCGCTTGTCCATTATTGTGTGATTCATCAGCGCCAAGAATTGAACTCATGGCATGCCTTGTGAAACACAAGACCGAAATTCGTCTCCAACCACTGGAATCACCCCGTGGTGGTTCTTCTACTAAGACTTAAAGTGCAATTGTTTGCAAGAATTAAGACATGGCTTAATATTTAACAAATCGAAAAC